ATTGCCTCCTGCAGCTAAAAAATAATAAGATCTCCCTGAAAATAAGACATGGTCTTATTTTTTTTTGACCCCCAAAATAAGCACTTGGCCTTATTTTCAGGGGGATCTTATTATTTTTTAGGTGCAGGAGGCAATGAGCGTGGTCACCTCATGGCTACTGCTGTGTTGCAAAATTTTGGGGGAGGGCTTATTTTGGGGGAGGACTTATTTTAGTGCATGTGCTCATGCTTATTATCCAGGGAGGTCTTATTTTCAGGGAAACAGGGTACATACAAATAAATGTTTTCATATATGTATATGCACACACAAATATATATAATTTGATTATACATAATCAAAATGCACATATAACTAGATTCAACACCCAGCTTCCAAAATAAAATTCCTTTCTTGACAACTGTTTTACCCTGTGGTAATTTTTTTTAAGAAGATAAAAAAAATTACCACAGGGTAAAACAGTTGTGTTTAAAAAGGTTGCTGTTTCATAACCCAGCAAAATGTTTTTGTCATTATTCTCTTTCCTTGCTAGCTGAGGGCTTTAGAAATAATAGCACAGAGTTTCACTGTTTCATTATTCCTTTTCAAATCCCTTGAGATAAATGAGTGAGAGAATAAAAAAGAACCATTGTATCTATCTAAAAGAAAGACATTGGTAATTAAAAACACACACATTTCTAATGGATTTGGAACCAGCAACCTCTTATTTATCAAGCCAAGCTATCTGACTGGCACTGCTGGAAATGATGTCTTTGATCAGGGCAAGTATTGTTTCAATTTGGAGGCATTTGTTTTCCTTTGCAAATGAACTGCTGGGGTTAGTCTACAAGGAATAAAAAGCCCTGCAGTTGAAACAGACAAGAGAACTTGGATGGCATAAGAGGAAAAGGCTACTTTCAAACCATAGCAAGGATGGAGGTGAGTAAAGGCTGACATTATCCAGTTCTGACCTCAAAACATTTGCTGTCCCATTGTGAGAACAAGCCATTGTGGGACAGCAGCCCCCAACCTTTTGGGCACCAGGGACCGGTCCCATAGAGAAAGGTTTTTCCATGGACTGGAGAGGGCATGGTTTTGTGTGTTGTCTGCATCCTGCAGATGGGGCTTTGCTTGTTTGCGGAGCCCATTTGCTGGCATGCCACGGACTGGTGCCTGTGTACCGACCAGATGTTGGGGACTCCTGCCTTACAATTCTCAGTATCCTGCAGTTGACAGAAATGATAGTTCAGTAGCAACTGGAGGGCTACAGGATTCCTATTCCCTCATATACTAAGCCCAAATATAGATGAACAGTGAATTGAAATGACTGAAGATGTCTTTCAAATATATTCTCCTGCAATAAAAGAGACTATAATCCTTTCTGATCCAAAGTTGAAAACTGGGGGTTATCAAACTTTTTCAGAGTGGTGTAATCTGTTAGCTGAAAGGAATATTTGCATACCTAGAACTCCTGAACAGGAAGTAAAATTTTTAGTGATAAAAGACATTCTGTGTTCAAGTGATTTCCCCCCTCCCCTATTTTTTGCGTAGTTTCTTGTGTAATCTCATCAAGTTCTTGTGGAATCCTAAGATTTTGCAAAACAGAGTTTGAAAAAATCCTGGGGTCAATCCGGTCTATCTCCCAAAAGTAAAAGATCTGTTCAAACTTCCTGTAGCTACTTTGTATAGTTATATATAAGGTACAGAAATAAATAAATATCCTGCTCTGGTGGTAAGTGGGAACTGCGTCTAGAGTTGGTATTCACTGAATAAACTAAAGTACACATTTCATCAAACTGCATATTGATTTTATAAAATAGTTATATATAACAACTTAAAACTAAGAAAAAATATGAATGCAGTATGTTTATTAGGCCCACTCAACTACTTTGGAAAAACATGCTTTTTTTTAAAAGGCAATCAAATGTACAGAAAATGCACTTGGTTACTGATGTGTGTGTGTTTTTTTAAGTGGACAAAAAGGAGAAAACAAGTTTGTTTACATCACTGGATCTAGGAAATTCTCTCAAGAGAAATCACATTTGAGAATAAATCTTTCATATACTGATCTGTTACTATTGATGCTTAAAATCCTCTGTGGCTTAAAAACCAGAATAGATCCATTTAGATGTTGGGGAGCTGCTTGTAGAAAGGTGATTTACATTGTCTCTGTAGATAGTCCTTAACATATATAACCACACACAATTGAGTCCAACATTTCTGTTGCTAAGTGAGGCAATTATTAAGGGAGTATTGTCCCATTTTACGATCTTTCTTGCCTCAGTTCTTAAGGGGATCATGGCAGTGGTTAAGTTAGTAACACATTTGTTAAGTGAATCTGGCTTCCCCATTGATTTTGCTTGTCAGAAAGTCGCAAAAGGGGATCACATGATCCCGGGACACTTCAACCATCATAAATATGAACCAGTTGCCAAGCGCCTGAATTTTGATCACGTGACCATGAGGATGTTGCAAAGGTTGTAAGTCTGAAAAATTGTCATGTCACTTTTTTCACTGCCGTTGTTACTTCGAATAGTCACTAAATGAATGGTTGTAACTTGAGGACTACCTCTACTTACCAACTTGACCATTGTACTACTAATCAAAATCATGCATGTGGGCCATATCTAGATAAAGACCTAAACATTTAAAGGGTGAAAAAAATGATATAATTTTCTGTAAAATTTAAGCTATAATGTAAGTGTTGTAGGCTACACTACCTGGCAATGCAAATATGTATAATATTTATTTATTCTCTGATAGTTTAAAATAAATACAATTGTATTCTTTTGAAGCAGGTTGCAGCATGATGCCATGTAACCAACTTGTGTCCGTCTTACTTTATGTAAAATGCCTGTTATCTTCAGATAATAAAAAAAATATGAGGAAAAATATATTTCTTTGTTATTTATTGAGACAAGATCAACATTGGAAGGATTATTGAATTGCTTTCTTTTTTTTTCAAATTGAAGGTTAGAAACACCTAGATAATATTTTATTGTTTTAAAGAGTGATTTTATTCAAAGTATTTTAAAAATAAATAAACACATTCTCCAGTTCAGAATAAGAGTAAGAATGGCATTACGTGGACTGTTGGATTTGATCCTGAATGCACATTGTTAAAAAAAAAAGTTAAAAAA